GACCACGTGACTGAAGGAGGTGAGGAGTCCGGCCTGGCACGCTCGTCCCGCCATCCCAGGAAGGCCGCAGAGCGAAACCAGGCTGGGGCTGAAAAGCCGGAGCTGCGCTTCAAACCTCCGGCTCACCTGTGGGGGCGGAGCATCACAGTAGAACACAGCCAGGTTGGCGAGAGGAAGGCCAGCCTCCGTCAGCGCCTTCATCAGAAGCTCTGAGTCTGACTCCGCGGCTCCGACTGCCGAATCCACGCTCAGCTGCACCGCGAGCAGCGGCCTCACCACGCTCGCACCCGAGCACCCGTCGAAGTAGCCAATCAGGACGATGCTCGTCCTCCGGCCCCCGCCCAGCTCCACCCCGACGTGCAGGTACAGGCAGTACGGCGTGCTGCGGAGCGCGTTGATGATTTGGCCGGTCGGCGTCAGGTCCACGTCATCGCGGCAGTATCGTTTACTGAACCGCAGCAAGACATCGCCCTCGTCCACCAACGAGTCTGTTGGCTCCGCCTCCTTCACCTGCTCGGGCCGAACACACTCGTCTACGTTTGTTACCGACTCCATCGTCAGGTCCACCACGTCGTCCTCGTCGTCGGAGATCAGCGAGATTACATCCTTCGCTTTTTCTTCCTCTGTGGTTTTACTGTCCGTCGTCACGGTGACGGCGAGTTTCTGATTCGGCAGGAGAAAGGCGCCACCTGCGGGGGGGGGGAGGAGAGAGCGAGCGTTAGGCGACAGCTCTGAAGGTTCACATATTAAACTTCTGACTTTAAAACGAGCAGCAGAACATTAAAGGTTTAATGTCTCCGGTCGAGCTGACGATCGTTTGTTAGCGTTTCAAACCCAACTTTATAAACTACACATGAAAGATATCATTAAACAGCCTGTGGCAAATTTATTAGTGTTGTCTTGTCACTATTTCACTCTATGCAAAGTATAAAAATAATATATTTTTCTAGAATCGATTCTCATATTAAAATATCGATATTTTAGTACTTTAGGGTAAATCTGTAGTTTATCATTAACAGGAACACAGTGGAAAGAAACTATATCACTCGGATCGTCTACACTGGAAGGAACTACTTCCTCTTC